GAAGGTGGAAAGACCTTCCCCGGTTCTTCGTTCGCGAAGTGACTGGCCATTACATTATTGAATGGATTAGAGAATTTATATTAATGTGTACTTCCTGTATTGACAGCTGATTAAACTGTCAATAAAAATTACCTCTGTTCTCTTCCAGCTTATGAGTTACAGAACTGCCCTGATCCTCCTCCTTTTTTGAATGGATATATAGTCAACACAGATTACAGTGTGGGTCAGTCCGTATCATTTGAGTGCTATCCTGGATATGTTTTGAGGGGTCAGCCTGTTCTCACATGTCAACATGGAATCAACAGAAATTGGAACTATCATTTTCCCAGATGTGAAGGTAACTTTCTAATACTACCTTTGTTTCAGAACTCACAGTACTTTCTGATTTTTGTTTAGTTGTTTGTGATTATGTATATAGTGCAGCTTTTGCTGAAGAACTGTGCCTTTATCCTAGTATGTAATGTAAGCAGACAAAGAAAGATATTATGTGCTTCTATAACTCACACATATTTTATGAATCATGTTCCTCAGCAGTGATTTATTGTTCCTATTATTATCTGTCAGTTGTACTGATTATAAGAACTCATGATACTACCAGAAATTATCTTAAACTCAATGTGATTTTTTTTTCTGATTTGAGGGCAAGGGGGGTAGTGTACAGTGTAACATATAACATTTTATGGTGGAAAGCTTTTACTTGGACTTTCATCTAAAAAATGCTAGTGTAGAAAAAAATTTCTGACATTCTTTTAGAGCTTTAGAAGCTTTGATAAAGGTATCGTATAGGATGTTATGACAAAAGTAGGTACTCATTGCGTAGAGCAGAAATGGTGTCACAGACAATCAACCAGCTAAGAACATATAAAACAGATTGAAATTAATTGTTTCCATCATAACAAGAGGCTAATGGTGCTACAGGTTTGCACTGCAGAATATATGTTTAGTATTGGACACTGATGCTGAAAGATGGGACAGAAGCTTCTCTGCAGAAAGCACCTGATAGCCCTTAGGTTAGTAAAACCAGAAAAAACTGTGAGGAATTCAAGAGAGATTTAACTGAGCTACTGGTATAAGTCATGAAAAACCTGTAGAAGAAGGATCAGTCATTCTGTTTCAGGACAGACTGCTTAAGACTAGAAAGAAATTTTCCACTGTGACAGGATAACATAGTGTTTTCTAATTTGGGTTCTTCTCCGTATTCTTATTAGACAAGGGTTCAGTATTGTCAGAAGGAAAAACTACACTAGACGATCAAAAATTTTGCTAAGGCACTGCAACTTCTTGCTTCCCAAATGAGTATTTTAATACTGTAAATAACAATTTCAAATTATTTTTTTATTATTCCTGAACAGCTTAACTATATTGCTCTGTAGCATGAACATGTGTTTTGTACACGTACTTGAGAATGGGCATTTATATTATTTCATATTGTCATTTAAATCTAATGTTGCAAGAATCCATAACATTTAGGTTCTAGTTCCAAAAATAAAGAAAAATACCATAAACTTCTCATAAAACTAGTAGAATAAATAAAAAAAGGAGGTTTTTGTAAAGTATTGCAAATTATATATTGAGGGTTTTTTTTTACTTTTGAATTGAAGGAGCTTTTTATTGCCAAGTATTTATGCTGTTTTACATTTATGATTATATGAAGGTAAAAGTACTAAAAATGTTTCCAGTGTTGAATGGCATTAGAGAATTTCTACTGTGTGCGAGAATGTGTAACTTCCATACAGTCAGTGGCTACATTTACTGTTCAGTGATTATCAAGGCATGGCTACAGTTCCCATGTCTTCCCTTTCTTCTTCGGTTTTATTCTGTGCATCAGTAGATATTTTGCAAAAATATTAGAAGGAATGTATGAAAATAATTTAAAACCTCTTTTGGAATACTAATTTCTCTTCTAGGGGGAATAATATGTAAAATGAAACAGCAGCATAATAAACTACTACAATTATATTATTTTAGCAAAGTATAGTTGGAATGGTGTTGTGGAACACCTTATAAGCTTTATGTAACTCCCTCAGTCCATACTGCAATAGGCATTATAGGCACTTCTTATAAAACCATACCTCCCAAATGAAAAAGACTGGAGAGGCATGAGAAAATGTAGTTCTTTGTGACAGTACAGCCAGTGCATTCCTTAGAGACATACTATGTCATAATACATTACATCATTGTCAAAGCAGTTGGTTATAACTCATAAGGATTTTGATTTTTTTTTTAATGTGTCTTTTTCCCAACTCTTTTACCATGGGCATATTTAGACTAAAAATGTGAACTATCATCTCCTATTATCCTTTAATTAAAAGATTTTGTAACATTCCTTTTAAATTACGTGCCTATATTGCTCTGAAATATTCTAAGAGCACCAATCACCTTCTGTTGATTCTTACAGCTAATTTCTGTAATTATTTTAGATAATTCATTCAGCCTAAAACAGAGGCTTAAGTATTCTAGTTATGTGAGGTTTTTTACCCCCCAGTGATGCTATCTTTCAGTGCCTTCTGAATTAGATAGTAAAAGAATAGGAGGATTGGAAACTTCAATTTTGGTACATAAGACCTTATACTGAATCTGATCTGCAGCTTCATGTGACTTTTTAACTAGAAATTATAGCACTTAAAAATATTTTTTCATTTATTCAATGAATTAATAAGTAATTAATTTTGAGTTCTAAAAAAAAATTAAGATGAGAAAGTACTATTTCAGGAAGATACTTTTATTCAAATGCAAGTGGGTTATGGAGTCAACTTTATCAGTATTTTGGAAGACAATACAAAGTTGTTAATTCTAAAACTGCACTATAAACAAATGTGAAGTATTTTTCCTTATGTTAAACATGCAGTAAAGTTTTACAATATCCTTTAAAGAATTACATAAAAGTGTAAAGAATGATGAGAGAATATTATCAGAATATGTTCCATATACAATACAATACAATAGTAGTGTGACAAGACAATTAGAGATATAAGCAGAAAATCAAGCAAGCAAAGAGATTAACATGTCTGGAAATAATGACGTCACTTTCAAAAATGTGGGGAAAAAAGATAAATCTTAAGAGCATGTGGAATATAAGAAATCAAATAACTTCTGTGCAGTCTTTGTATAACAGATATGAATGTGACTTACTCTACAAAATGAAAATATTAATGGTTATAGTCCTAAGTCTTGCTGATTGATGATACAAGTTTTTAATGCTCATTATGGTATCTTCTGATGGTCAGCTACAATGTACCTTAACATCTTGCATAATAATAGAGAAAGAAAACACCTTAAAGGACATAAAAAGATAAGAGAATATGTTTTTTCTCTTGTCCCATTAAGGCTGGCCTATGTTCTGCGCTCCTTGAATAAAGACATTTAAGATATCAAATCAATATTCTCCCTATATCATTTTATTTTACTAATTAAAATTAATTTTAGCAAACAATAATTTCTGAGATGTACTTTGAAATGTTTATGAGTGGAAAAACATATTATTTTATGTATTTTCTCAGAAATCTAGATATCATTTCTGTTATCTTTGAAAATTGTTTTCACACTTGCTATGTTTTATATTGGTTCACTGAATGTTGTTGTAGCATTAGTAATTTTTCTTGTTATGTTTTATTTATTTATTACAATTTCTTTATGATTAAAATGCTGACATATGATGTAATACTCTTGATATCTTAAGATAAATATGGAACATTTAACTTGCACAGCACATATTTTTGAAATCCTTTCTATAGTGGTAAATCAGAAATGAGAAGAATAAAACATATAAATTAAAGTGAGAGGATAGATAAGAAATGTAATTTTTACGTCATTCACATTTGAAAAATAATCTCCTAGCATCCTCACTTGATAAGAAATTGAATCAATAGCACAAGTCATTCTTTTTCATTATCTTTACCTCTTATAAAGCTCTCTGATTCTTTTATATCGTGAAATTAGAGGCCTTTCTTCATGTTTAATAAGCTGCTTCACCTTTTCCTAATCAAATGAATGCTTTGCAGGATTTCTTTGGTTTTGGAACATGTGGAGAGGTTAATTTCTTTTCCTGAACCAAAGAAAGAGAAGCTTCCCAGAGTGTCTTTGCTGGCATGCATTGCAACACTTCAGCATTACACTTCAGTAGGATCCTTCCAAAGCCTGTGAAATTTTGTGTTTAGATGCTCCCATGCAGAATTTTTTTTACTAACTGTTTTTAGAATTCATTGGAAACCTAGGCAAGATACAACACTTTTTGTTTTTATATAATCATGCTTCCTCTTCCTTTCTTCCTAATCCTAGGTTAAGCTTTGTGAGACAGATGCCTTAGCCTGATTTGGATTTCTTCCACAGAAGTTTTGTGGTGGTGTGTCTGCAATGACTTATTGTTCCTCTTTTCTCACTAATAAAGCCTTGAAGGAAAGTTGTCAGCTCAAGAGTATCTTACAAAATCCTTTTAGTGGTTTAATAATTTTTGGAGTAATTTTAAAGTACTATATACAGAAGAATTGCAGAATTGTGCTAGAATGTAGATTTGCATATTTTTACAAATAAAGTATTTCAATTGATAAAATTAATATTCAATAAGGTTAGCAGTAATCTGTATACGATACATCTTTATAGCATTTCGAACACAAAATGGCACTTCCAGTTATTGTAAGTGACATTCATAGATAGAATAAGTAGGAACATGAGACTGGCTAAAAGTTGTTAAAAGAAATTTTAAGTATCTCAGACATTTCTACTATATGGCACATTATTATACACGTTTCTAAAATTACATCAATTTTTCGCTTGTTTTTTTTAATATTTTTTTAGGAATGCTATTTTGCATAGGAATAATTGAGAAAAAATTCCTATGCCTCTCACTTTCAATCATTTATTGTTTCTGATTAAAACCAGTATCCAATTAAACTCCGTGCAAGATTACTGACATTTCTCTGTTACTGACATTTCTCTAATTCAGAATGTGCATTTGTCCTGGTTCCTTTGCATATGAATCCTACCTTCCAAGCCTACCCACAGTCATCTACATCTACTCCACACAGCTGAGGCCTGAGAGCTTGCATCTCTATCGTATGTGCAGTTGTGTACATTTATAGTTATGATTCTGACTGAAATAATTTTTATATCTATGCCCAATATTCTTAGTAGTTTGGATCAAAGACTTTGTATGGAAGATTATACATACTTATGAGGGCTGAGAAAAATGAGGTCTGGTAGTGTCTTACAAAAGAAATACCAAAGATATAATATTCTAATTTAATTAACTGGAGAAAAACTCCGGGACCTGGAGGAAATAGGAATAGTTAAGACTAAATGTCTCTTGATAGTGCTGTTTTTTATAAACCTTGAATATAAAAAGACAGTAGGAGATGTCAGATGGCTGGAAGTCCTAAACTGATATAATTTTTCCAGTCTAGTTGTACATTTCCTTCCCTTTATGCTAAAGAAAAGTTGTGAGTTTGGTTTTTAAGTTGTTTTTTTGGCTGGTGAATAATATCAGGGCCATCAATAAACTGTGAAAACAATAATAGAAGGGCAGTGTTCCACCCTCAACACTACCATTTACCAATGGTTTTCTATGGAATCTCACTGAAGATCTGTGTTAATGTGAAAACAAATTTCACTGACAAAGAAATACTCCTGCTCTGTCTCAGGAAGATTGCATTGTGCAAGCATATTCATTTTTCTACACTCAGTCGTTAAAAGTTTGAAGCTTTCTGAGATTTCATGGACAATTTTTTTCTCTAATTGTAAGGCTCCTGGTTGCCAACTTGTGGTGGTTTAACACTAGTCAGATATTAAGCTCCAAATAAGCCACTTCTCTTTTCCTCCCCTCCCCGCTCCCTGCCCCTTCCTGTAAGAGAAGCCTATGGATTGAGATAACAATTTACTGAAAGTAAAAGAACAATGGAATAAGAAATGCACAGTAACAACAGCAATAAGTTTACAGAAAGAGGTTTTTTATTCACAAAGAAGATGTTCACCACCTGGACTTACTTCTACATGGCTCACCAGGACAAAGGCAGGATGGCGGCTGTTCCCATGGTAGCATCATGCTGCTGCTCAGCTGGGCTGTTCTGCTCAGGTGCCTCTGGCGCTGTTTCGGATGGTTCTGCTATGCTAGGGGTTGGGCCTGCTCAGGTGTTGACTCCCCACCATTGTTTTTGACCCCTCTGCCCTGCTCGGCTCCTTTCAGCTCAGCTTGGCTGGGCTTAGCCCGGCTCTCTTCACCTCGCCTTGGCTTCCAGTGACTCAGCTGGACTGGGGCTCACCTCTGCCACTCCATTCCCCACGGCAGCTTCAGCATCATGTTGGTTCCTTGTTTTGATGCTTTTCTCTCAGCACCATGTCCTGTAGCTGAGTCTCAGAGAAATGGGGAGGGGGCTGGCGGTGGCAGCAGAGAGACCAGGTCCACAGATCCTGACACTTTCCCGCTGGAGAGAGGGAGGCAAAAAATGGGGCACTTGCAGCAGTGTGCTTACTTCCTCTTCCCAAAACCACACCCTGCTGTGATTACACAGGTGGTAAAGAATAGCAACCTAGCCATGCCCACAAAGTACTAAGCCCTGCCCCCTCCCTGCAACCAGGACACACCTAAAGCACTGTGGCTAAAACTTCAGGATTTTTCTTCTCAATTCTTTCCCCAAGTGATCTGAGGTCCATGGTATATGTTTGCTTAGCTCCCATTAGGTCATGCAGTTATCTGTCTTAAACTAGTGGACTAAGCCTCTTGTCTGCATAGTTCTATTTTCATTCAGAAAACAGATTTTTTGGCTTTGTGATGAAAAGATGGCATGGTTAAACTTCTTGTATCCTGGGGCTGAAAGTGAGCATCTCCAAGTTCATAATTGACACTTTTGTCCTTGAGGTAGATGAGTTTCAGGTTTATAACATGAACTTTCACAATACAAGCTTCTATGCACAATGTAAGACTTCCTATACTCACAAGCCTTTCTAAAGTATTTTCATCCCCATACAGATTTCCAATGATTCTTTCTAGATCATGGCACTGGAAGTCAGCTATCCTTACTGACCTAAGCCAAACAGTTACACATATACCTATACATACACACACACACACACACACACACATATATAGTGAAGAGTTGTGGAAATTCGCATATAAAAGGGGTTAAATAATTATCAACCAGATTCTAGTATAGACAAGTTGAATGGAGAGGAGATGAGCAGAACACAGGTTCAAAACTGTAGTCTGGCACTGGAGGGCTGACTGGAAAGCAAAGATTCACATGCTTTTGGAAGCCATCCTCATTCTAAATCATATTCTCCACTGTGTATCAGGTGATTTGAAATACATTAAAAAGCTTAATCTGTATATGGCAGAACATTATATTAGTTTCTGTTTATGAGATTATAGTAGAATTTTGTCATATAGTCATGCTTTTTAAAACTCTATCCCTGTGCAATCAAATTGTCCTAATGATATACCGTAGCTGTCTTGGTATAACATGTCACACAAACAACTAACTGCATTTGGGTATCTTTGGGAGGAACTTTAAAAATATTTACTGTCTTTCCATGCACAATGCTGTATCTGGAATTAAGTGTGAATGATCATGGGAACACACCTGGTATTCATTTCTTTGTAAATCAGCATGTGGTCTACAGTTAGCACTTGAAAGTTTAGAAGACTTGATTATACATTTTTCCATTTCAAAAATCTGTGTTTTTTCATGCCTGTAATTCAAAGTGCAATATAATGACTTCAGTAATGTAGCGTTGTTTATTAAAACTAAAGCTATTTTTATCTTATGTGAAATATAACCCATTATTTCTGTTTCGTTTTCTGTCTTCTGTGATTTTTAAGGACCTTTGGAGAAAGTCTGGTAACAACTGGGTGTATTACTTATTCTATTAGAGTTTTGTCACCTGTTATACTATTCTTTTTCTGAGAAAATTTATTAATCTTTCATGGATAACAATCATATAAGAGGAATTAGATTGTCTTTACTGTGATACAATCAATCTGCATTCTTTGTCGAGTATTAGAGAAAAATAGAAGGAAAATAAAAAATGTATGCAATCTTTAACAATATCCATAAATCTGACAAAATATAATAAACTCGAAATAAATTTAAGTGTAAAACTTCAATCAGAAAAATCCTATATATAGAACTTAAAGGATTTCCGACTTGTCACTATATTCATCTCAGGAAATGTAGTAAGCATAACTGTCAAAGCAGTCTTAGTTGTAAACATGGAGTACTGCAGAGAGAACAAAGTACACTTCCGAAACCAGACAATGTGACCATGGCATGAATGTAGGGGATTAGGGAACAGTAAAAAGTGGACTTGAGTCAGGTTTTCATCAGAACTCTCAGAGCTGGTAGACATTTTCAGATACCCTTGGCCTCTACAAGCAATCAGGAATCAGACAGATAGAACCAATCCATCATTTTCCTTAGCTTGTTTCCTTTGTTGGCCACTTAAGGTTCATGGTTCAGGAGTAGGTGCCATTCTGTTCATGGAATTGCGGAATGGGTAAGGTTGGAAGGGACCACAGCAGGTCATCTGGTTCAACCTTCTGCTCAAGTAGGGTCATCCTAGACTACATTGCACAGAATTACATCCAGATGTTGTAAGATAGGAAGATGTGCTAAATGCATCATACATATTAGTTAGGACTGATATGGAGGAAGAAAGTGAAGTGCTTAAAACCTCCTTAACTTGTCTTATAAATCTGTTGATTATTAAAAGGATTCCTCCAAAATAGGCTACTCATCAACTGGCCAAATGACCCTTCTACCTGAATGGTATAGCAGCTTTAAACCATACAGGAAATGTGATATTCTGCATTTTTCAGTCCTTCTTCCTTTTCCCCTTTCCCCTTTTCCTTTCTCCTTTTTACTTTTTTCTTTTTTTTTTTTTTTTT